AAAAAATGTGATTGACAGATGACCGTTGATATATGATTGGCCGAATTTAGGTGTTCAGGCTGACGTATAACTAACTGGCCTGTATAAGATAACAAAGAAAAAAAACTGATTTTAAAACAGGATTTTTTTTTTTTATAAAAATGTTCTATTTTGACAATATCCTCTAATAAAGAGTACAGTACATGTTTAAGCCAGAATGATTTGACATTTAAATAGGATTTCCCAACGACTTTAAGGTTAGAACGGCCCGTTTCCTTATTTCCTCTGAAGCTTCTTTAAACAGGTTTTAACAAAGAAACTGATTCATTTCCATCGTATTATATTTTCATCTTGTTAAAGAGACAGAAGAAAAGCTTCTCCCATCACTCATAGCTCACTTTAATATTAGTATGTTTGTAAAATGGCTGAAATGGGAATTATCTTTTTAAATGTCCGTATTTATCCTGCATCTCAATCTAGATTGTCTCTAGAAGTTGATCAGCAGACATGAGGGAAGCTTCTCTGGTGTGTTTGTGTCGGTGGGGGGTTGGATTAATAACAGAGGGTAGAGATTGGGTGTAATGATCCCAGGCAAAAAGCAGTAGGAGGGTCCCGCCCCCACCACCGCCCCCTGCTGCCTCCACTAGTCATATTTGGAAACAGAGGGAGGATTGTGGGAAATCCAGCGACGGCGTTCGGAGCGTGAGGCGTCTGGCCTCGACGTTCTACCTGCCCAGTGAAAACTGAAGGATCGTCGCAGCTCTTCTTTACAAAGCTGAGCTTTTCCTCCCCCACAGGGGTCTCCCCACTCCCCCCCCATGTCACCAGCCCTCTTCGCTAATATTAGCCGACATCTAACCTTTTAATGAACGCAGGGCCGCAGCCTAGCTGCTGCTGTGGGAGGTTAGTGAGGCTGTCTGACAGCGGCGCGGCCTAATGAGAAGGGCCCCGTCGGACCTCCGCAATAACCGCCCTGCACACCTCATTAGCATCACGCTAATAAGCCACTCTGCACAGGATGTGACAGAGGAAGCTGGAGTGGAGAGAAGGATGGCATGTTTGCTCACAGCCACATCAAAGGCTCCTTTATCCACCTACAAATGTGTGCTCTCCCTGCTTTTTTTTTCTTTCCCTCCAATATTTCAGCTTCATCATTATCCAGAAGTGGTTTGTTTGCAGCAACATGGCAGACATTGTTTGCCTTTGTTGGGAAATGTGTCCACTGCGTGCGCCTCTAGATAATACGCATGGTTTGGAGAAAATCTGCTTAAACTTTTTAACCAAGCTCAAAAATGTGGGTTTTTCTTTTTCTTCTAAGACATGATTTTGTTTTTAGCGGATCGCGAGCGTAGCTGAGCAAATTAATGATTGAAATCTGGTTGCATTGTGGAGGACTGTCTCCAATCCAAAGATTTTGCTGCTTCTGATTGCTTTTTAAAGTTGTTGGGAAATCATATTTAAATGTCAAATCATTCTGGCTTAAACACGTTTATAAATGTGCTCTTTATCAGACGAAATTGTCCCAAAAGTTAGAAGATTTCTATTTAAAAAAATAATCCAGTCTTAAAATCTGTGGTGTTTTTTTTTGTTATCTTATGCAGGCCAGTTAGTTCTACGTTAGCCTGAACACCTAAATTCGGCCTATCATATATCAACGGTCATCTGTCAATCAAATTTTTTCAGTCATAGCATCTTGATTCATATGTCGCAGCTAATATACAATGGTTGAAATAAGAATCCTTTCCTTTCCCATTGAGTTCCGTCCCAGTGTTCACGGGGATGGACGTCTGTGTCTTCGGCAGGCGTAGAGCTAACAGAGCTAACAGAACTGGCAGTGTTGCGAGGCAAGGGCTCAAACATGTACGGCTGGAAGCCTTCTACACCAAACCAAGCTTCGTCCGCCCTGGCGTCCTCTTCCACAACAACTTCATCCCCGCTTTCCTCCTCTAAATAAAAAATGTATGACGGAGGAGACTCATCCACGACCTCCGACACTAAACTCTCCTCCTCTTGCATGTTTCGGCTGTCCATAGCGTTAAATATGGAAGGTATGTCCCCCTGATAGCGGCTGTGCCTCAGAACTTCCCTTCCGGTTCTTTTTCTGGGAGCAAGTTATTTACTACTCCTAACTCAAACTGGGTAAAATCATATAAAAAGGACTATAAAAACAGGAGTAAACAAGTAACAGAGTTTATTCCAGATCAGGTCATTACAAGACAGAGAAATTGCTTGGAGTTTGCACAGCTGTGGGCTCAAAAAACGTCCGCGAGCATCCGGCAAGGTTGAGCAAAGATTGAGCCCCGAACAAGGTCATCTTCTCCTTCTTATACCTCATGAGCCCATGTGTTGGATTATGTGGATGTTTAGCTGTCTGTATCAGAAACTGACACGCCATCAACGCCCTGAACTTTAAGCATCTTGCATCCATGCCCAAAGATTAAAGATGCGTCTCCTCCATCAGTCCGGCTCCAAGATGTGCCCATATCCTGTGTACTTCTAAAGACACAAAGGCTGTCTTGATTATATGACCTCCTTACACACAGTGACATCCACAATGTGAAGGAAGGCCTTCTACTCTGTCTAATCTGGCTAACAGAATAACAATGCACATGATGTATAAATAATAAACCTAACAATAGCGTTCCTTGACAGTGTCGTTGCTAAGTCACCAATTTAGTGCTACTTGGTCCCAATGGAATTTCCCATTGGGAACCTACTAGCACTAAGTTGCTAACTGGTTAGCAAGATGCTTCAGACAAACCGGCCACAATCAAACTTGATAAACGACTAATCACATTCATTTTATTCACTGGTGTAAAGTCGGACTCCACCCAAGAGAATTCATAAATGCAACGGTTGTAACGGCCGATTCCCTATTACTTTAAACGTGTGTGAGAGCCCATTTTCCCTCATCCACACTTATCGCTCATACAAACTTACTTCCCAAAAAAAATTTAGCGATTTTTCCATTATGTCAGGCTCACCACCTGTAAGTGAAAATATGAACGAGCACGTAGGACGGCCTTACGTAAACATATCAGCAGAATGTTTAACAGTTAGGAGGACCACTAATTTAGATGATTTTAAATTTAGTTTATATTAGAATAACATGACAGAAATTGTTTTCAGTGTCATATTTCAGGGAAATGACTTAAAATGCTGAATTTTAAGTTTCTTCAGCTTTTTTTTTTTTTTTTTAATCTGTCCGTCATTAAATTACTTTGAGTGAGAGATATTGGCCACAGTACTTCTTTTTAATGAAAGGTTGGAGCGTCGGTGCTTGCAGCAGCTCCTCTCAGTCCTCTGTGAGCTGCCTCAGCTCGGGGTGGAGGTGGTAATTGGCTGGACGCTGCATGCGGCCCCGTCTGGGGAAGAAGTTCTTGTTAATTTCATGTTGGACTCTCAGGGGACTGACCTGTGCTGAACAGGAACTACTGCAAATTGTGTAGTTTGATATTTTTTCTACCAACGCTGCAAAAAAAAGCATCAATACGCCTTGAAGTTTTGTTTTTCACATTTTGTTACCACACAAAAGACTTCATTGTATCGGATAGATTTAATATTATGGACTAAATATTGACCCGATAGGAGATCAGCACAAATCATCATTACTTTTATTTCTCATTTTATTATTTAAAATATCAGAAAAGCTTCGATCAATTGACATCGAACAGAAAATAATTGTCAACAAAAGCTGGCAAGAGGACAACTCACTCTATTATTAACCAATGTGCTATATCAACTTTAAACAGAAATTGAGGATTCCCACTATATATGCTAATATCTCAGATTTTAGATGCAGTCTGCTAAATTATATTCATTTTTTGGATAATATCAGATCCATATTTATTTCGGTTTGGAGCATCCCTATATATATATTACATGACTCAATTATCAAATATTCCTTTAAACTATAAAATTCACAATCAAGTGTATCAATAAATAATCAAAATTACATTAAATCACTGGTTAATAATTGATTTGGGATTAATTAAATAACGGTTTATTACATTTAAGTCTATTACATCTGATTCATAGAGATCTAATTATAATTTTTAATTTTTTTTTTCTTTTGGTGTTGCAATGTTAGTGAATTCCACTAGAGGGTGCCGCTGTTCATTCTTATACAGCATTTTTAATAGAAGTAGGTCGGATTGAAGCCTGGAATAGAAAAAAACTATCAACCTAGTGTCCAGAATAACATTGATATGGTTCTGTTTGTTAATAAAAATTAAACTCCTTAGGTTATCGGAATAAAGGGTGCCCAGTTAGCTGCCTGTTTAAAAGCAGGAAGTCTCTAGTAGCAACGATTCTCGGTCTACGTTTAATATCAGAGAGCTATGCCACGTTTAACATCCAGTTCAAATTACGCAGTAGATGGTCTGACAGCACGTTGAAGCGACATTCCCCATCTTTTTATAATAGTTTTACATTGAAAAACATAAGTTTGACCTATTTTAGTTATGTCTTTTTATTCAGTAATCTAAGCTCCTGTTTTGATATATCTTAAATATTTAGTTTAATTATGTGTAAGAGATTATTTCTTCTCTTTCTACAGCTGGTACTATAAAGAGTTAAAATATAATGGTGTACTACTGTTTAATATATATATTTAGGGCCACTCGTGAATGGAAGGATCCTATTTTTACAAGTAAAAATGTAGCTGTTTTTTTGAATGACCGCTTATCAATTAATACTTAATTTAAAAAACAATTAACTTTAGTTTACGTTATTAATCAATAACTACTTCTGGAATAATTGTAAAAACAAAACATTTATGATAATAAAATTACTTTATATTTATAAATGGAGTGTTTGTTAACCCCAGAAGCGGAGCAGAACTGTGACGTAAAAGAAAAAAAAAAGTGTTTTTTATAAAGTGTGTAAAGGTAGAACTTGAATTGTGCCTATTGTTAAGTCTTCTATGCCCTCAGTCAATGTTTTATTAAAATATCCTGTGTTTGATTCAGCAGTACTTTAGGTTCCGTTTCTAAATCATTGGTTTTGTTGTTTGGGTCCAGGGGCCACAAACGGAAACACGAAGAAGCCAGAACGGACGACGACGACACTGACAAGGAGGAGAACAAGCAGGACTCTGCTGACGAGTCCTCTAAAGACTCCAACGAGGAAGAGGAAGGCAGCAGCTCGGAAGCAGACGAGATGGCCGCCGCCTTGGAGGCGGAGCTAAACGATTTCATGTGACAAGGAAATGGCAGATTGATGAACATTAAAGCCGACCCATGGCCTACGTCACATGTGGTACTCTGACTTTTCTTTGTGTTGGTGTGGTTGAGATGTGAGCGCGATGAAATATGTGGTATTAAAACCTGAATGTCCTGTACAGAACCAGCACCTTTCTGCATAAATCAAAAATTGGACTTTTGTAGTATTGATATATATAGAGATATATAAATAGCCATTTTTGGCATAATTCCTTTGATGTTGACATTTTATTGTGAGGTAAAAAAAACTCTAGGGGACATGAAATTTGATACTTATTGTGTTGTTTTTCTATTTGAATTTTTATATTGATGAAAAGATTAATAAAAAACATAAGTGTATATTTTGCTGACGGTTCTTGCCAAAGAGTCTGAAATGGGTTTGCAAAGTTGTGCAGCTAAACATTTTATTCTGGACTTCCACTTTTTAATGTTTTTTTTTTTTTTTTTTTTGTCTCCTCTGCAGGTTTTTAGGGTCAAAGCGACTAGTTTATCCAGACATTTGAATGTGTTGTCTTTTTTTTTCCTTTGGTTGGTTCCTTTTTTTTGTTGTTTGTACATTTTGTAAACGTTTGTGTGCTAACAAAATTTTCAGTTAATGATAAATTAAAGATGGCATCCCAGTGCCAGAATGTGAATTCGTCTTCACCAGTTCTGATTTGATTTTTGAGGTGATCAGAATCCAAACGGTGCTCCAGTTTTTTGGTAAATGTTTAATTCATCAGAAAATACAATTAATTTTAAGAGGATTTTCACTCCTCTCCAAAAATGCATTAAAGCACATCCTGTTGGTTGATGCATTTCATAACCAAAAGTCTTTCATTTTGATGCTTTTAAAAATTGGGAAGAAATTCATTGATTTTTCAGTAACTTCCCTACTTAAAGTTGGACAATTTATTGGCTTCCTCATGCTCTCCTCTACACATCAGGCAACAATCTGTTATACTCTAGAATTTTGTGCCCATTAATGACTAGCGGAGCATCAAAACAAATTTTATAAGCAAACAGATTTTTTATTTTTTTGGGTCATCTGCAACTTGCAGTGAACTACTGCCATAAAACCAATGCAAAGTCTGTTTCACATTAAATGTATTTCTTTTAAGAACGGCAGGGATTCCTGTTCTCTATAAGGTCTGAGCTGCTGTTGTCAACACTGACCGATTAGATGCTGAGGGGATCTGTGAAAAAAAGCAGTAGGTGAAAATGACACCTACGTTTTTCTGCTAAGAACTATGAGAGATAAAAACGGTTCTACACTATTTTTAAGAATCCAAAATGTCTGCATGTTTCATAAACAGGAGGCAAAAACAGACTGGTATAAAACAACAGTGTGTGTAGTGGGGGTGTCCAAAATCTGATTTATCTCATAGTATTGAGTTGACTCTCAATTTTAATCTTCATTTAGAAAGCATCATTTTTTCCCCCTAAGAATTCTAATTTTAATCTTTGAGTCCCCTAAAAAAATCTTAGAATTCCATCTTTGATTTTCAAAAATCTTTGATTCAGATTTTTTCCCCCTTCAATTAGAGTGTAATCTTAGAATTTCTCTGATCTTAGAATGCTTACTTTATTCTCAAAGTTTATTTTTTTAATCCTGACTTTTTTATTTTTGAATTAAATTTTAAATAGAGAAGAATTTTTACTTTATTTTGTGTTTAATCTTAGATTTCTGCTTTGATTTTAGATTTCTGATTATGATTGCAGAAGTCTCAGTTTAATCTGAGAAGTCCATCTCTACTCTTGAACTTCTGGTTTTAATCTCAGGTTTGACTTTCAGCTCAGACTTCTATGATCTTAGAGTTGTGACCTTAATTTCTAAATTTAAAGATTAGTTGCAGTTCAGCCCATTGAAGTGTGTTTAGGTAGTTAGTGGCCCTAATCAGAAGATGATCAAAGGATTATTGATTGAACATCTGAAGATCTTTTCTAGGGATTGATGTAGCTCTACAAAAAATATAAATATTATATATATATATATATATCTTTTTTTTCTTGTTTCTTAAATTTCCAATTTCTTCATCTAAAAAGTGAGAATCCCTCTCCTGTTTTGTGATTTGTATTTATAGGGCAGCTAAATAATTTATAACCAACCAAAATGTCAGTTATAAGTAAAACTGCCAAAATACTAATTTAATTCTAACTATAGTAAATATCAAATAAGCTGCGATGTGCAGCAAGCATTTCACTGATTTGAAGAAATAAAACATTAAATATAGATTTTTGTTTGAGAAAAGAACAAACTTTCTTTGTTACGCACACAAAATGTTGCTGCTTTTGTTCCACTAACATTCTCCAGACCAGTCTCTTAGCCTTGGTGCTAAGCTAACTAGCTTGCTAAAATGCTAAGGATTAGCAAAGCCTTACTTGGCATAAAAACATTGAGATTTACCCTGAATATTTCAAATGGAAAGTATGACGGAGCATTAGGGCCAGGCTAGATTTTTTGTTTTTATTTTGAGAATAAAATCGTAACACTACGAGAAAAAAAGTTTTAATATTACGAGAAAAAAGTCGGAACATTACGAGATTAAAGTCGGAACATTACGAGAATAAAGTAACATTACGAGGATAAAGTTGTAATATTGCTAGAATGAAGTCATCATACAACAGCCCATTTCAGAAAAAAAGCTTTGAGTCAAACCAGAGCCAAAGTATAACTCATTTTATGGAAGAAAGTTCTTCTTGTAAGAGTTGTCATAAAATACAGCTTGTTTCTCATAATTTTAGGACTATTCTCATTGTGACTTTTTGCTCATAATATTACAACTTCATTCTCGTAATTTGACAAATTTATTTTGGTAATTTTACGACTTTATTCTCGTACTGTTATGACTTTACTCGTAATTTTATGACTTTATTCACGTAATTTTATGACTTTATTCTCGTACTGTTACGGCTTTGCTCCCGTAATTGTGCGACTTTATTCTCGTACTGTTACGACTTTACTCTCGTAATTTTACGACCTTATTCTCGTACTGTTACGACTTTGCTCTCGTAATTGTGCGACTTTATTCTCGTACTATTACGACTTTACTCGTAATTTTACAACTTTATTCTCGGAATTTTATAATATTCTGGCCAGAACTTTTTTCTTGCAATACTAAGACTTTATTCTCGTAATTTTATGACTATTCTCGTGACTTTTTTCTCATATTATTACTTTATTGTTGTAAATTCACGAGTGTATTCTCGTAGTTTTATGAATTTATTCTTATAATTTTACGAGTTTATTCTTGCAATTATATTACTTTATTCTCTTAATTTTATTACTTTATTCTCATATTGTTATGACTTTATTCTCCTAATTTTATGACTATTCTCATTGCGACTTTATTCTTGTAATTTTACAACTTTATTCTCAAAATAGAAAAAAAAATCTCAAGCCTGGCTCTAATACTCTCTCTTAGGAAAGAGACGTTATGCAAACAGAGTGGGAAATGTTTCTGCTAATCTAAAACCTCTACATTCAGCCAATGTTTTAGTTTCCATGAAGATGATTCCTCTGCCTTTATTCCCGACAAAACCTTAATTTTGAAACCAGAACATCAGCCTCAGTAATGATTGGATTATTGTTATTTCTGGGTATTTTCTACTTCTTTTTCTTTCTTTCTTTTTTTGGTGGGGGTGCTAACCTCAGAGCTCTTTGAATAATACTTGAATTTGCAATTTTTTTTCCAGAAAACTGCTCAGTTAATAAGATCTAATATTCACTCAGTTTTCTTCCTGCTCTTCTCATGATAAGCTAAAGCATCAGCACTGAACAGAAAGGGAGGATTTAACCAGCAGATCCCCTTTAGTGGTTTAATCCAGCTTCACTATAGCCCATTTTAACCATGATGCAACGCTGCAGCTAAAGGATCTCATGGTGTTACTAATATTTACCTCTAATGTTGTCTGTTTGAAGTCAAACCCACAGTCCTGGTATTTTTACTCCATCCCTGTGGATCCTTGTCTTGAACTCACCATTTTTCCTATTTAAGCTGAATCACTGTAATTATAGTCTCGGTGTGATTTGTGTTCAGTTATTGTTTGGCCACCGGATTCCTTTCTCTCGCTACATCCACACATTCTCCCTTCTTTCTTAATTCATTGTGTTTTTTTGTGCTAACCTTTTATCGTCGACTTTTTCTCTTAATGATGACATGTAAGCTTTTTGGTTTCTGACCCAGAGGGGGAAAAAAGATACACTTTTGTTAAATAAAGATGCTTCAAAATAAATGTGTTTTGAATAAACATATTTTGCATTTTGTCTTGTCTTATCAATTTATTTTTCTTAATCCCCTGATGTATGTATCACCCTTTTTTCCTCCTACAACCACAAATTACAATGTGTTTAATCAGGATTTAAGCAGCAGACCAACTCAGTATTTAACAGAAGATGTGAACACAATCCCCTTTTATTCAGACACTGCTAAAAAAAATAGCTGAGAATCCGAACGTCTCACAGACCACAGTAATCATCTCACTGGAAGAATGCTCATCAAGCGGCCTGAAGAATGGTTGTTACTTTGGAGGAGCTGTAGGGTAGTGATTAGAAGTGGAGTTATAAAAAAAAGCCATGTACCTTGATGGATGTAAGACATTTGAGACTCCGCGGTAAAGTCATGCATGGGGCCCCTCTGAAATGACAAGACAACCCACAAAACAAGTAAATTATACAGATATTTTAACAGAATGCAAATGCATTATTTACTTGACCTTTTTTTAATTTATGAATATTTGTGTTCCTCTTTTTTACATTTCTTTCTTCTTCTGTCTCACATCTTTTTTCTTTCTGTTCCTTTTTTTCTTGTCTTCCTTTCAATGTTTTCTTGTTGCCAGCTTTGTATTTTGTCCTTAAAGTCTTATTTTGTAAGTGTTGCCCTCAGTAAATCTTGTAATAAGGAGGATCATGTTCACTGACTAAAGAATCCCCAAAACCTTGACATCTTTCTATGAATTCAGCAGAACAACAAGAAACAAAAAAACTTAAAAGGATGGATTTCTCATAGCAAAATCAAACTGGTGATACTCACTATAGTTGTCCTCGTTGCACTTGCTGGCAGTCGTGGGTCGCTAGCCACTCTGTAGTAACCCTACTCCACTTTTTGTAACTTTATTTTCTTACCTCTTTTCCTATGTTTGTTGTTGACTTCCTGCATCATTTCCTGCAAATGCAGTGAGATGAACTTTTCCAATGCAGTGGGGATTCAAGATGCACTTTCTGATGGCGTTTCAGCTAAAGGGTTTTAATGCAAAAACTTAATATATGCAAATCCATAATAAATGTATTAACCATACATGTATGAGGAGTTTTATGGAGCCCTCAGCAACTTTTGGCTCTAGGTAACCGCTTAGTTTTGCATAATGGTAACTAAACCTGGCTACATACAGGAGACAGCAAAAATGGGATTAACATTCTTCTCGTTTCATGCTGAAGGAGTTGGTCCCTTCAGAAGAGACAAAGAAGCTAAATCATGGAAAGTTTTGGAAGAAATTCTGCCAGTGGTTGGTAAAATGTTGCTAACCTCCATCGAAACAAATAGAGATTTATCTTTACTCTTCCCTAGAGTAAGACAAACCGGCTGATTGCAGCGACTCATTGACTCTTCAGCAATCCCTCACACTGAGCAAGTATGTAGCGACAGTGGAGAGCAAA